AGAGAGAGAGAGAGAGAGAGAGAGAGAGAGACTCAGTGTTCTTCCTGGAGAAGGATTTGTTGGCTCTTTTAAAAGTTTTTTTTTTTTAATGTGCACTGGTGTTTTGCCTCCATGTATGTCTGTGAGGGTGTCAGATCTTGGAGTTGTGAGCTGCCATGTGGGGGCTGGGAATTGAACCCGGGTCCTCTAGAAGAGCAACCAACCCTCTTAACTGCTGAGCCATTTCTCTATACCCATGGATTATCTTTTCTAAAAAATGAAAGAGAAAGAAAAAAAAAAACTTTCTACCTTTCACAGAAAACTGAAAATCGTTGTTTTGGAGCAAAAGAGAGGTTGATCTCTCCTTTAGGTGAAGCTATGATGTATAGTGACCACTAGATGGCAGTACAGGATTAATATTGAGCCTAAGCCTTACCTGATACCATTATGTCTAGCCAATCAACTCTCACTGACCTAAGCAGAGGCAAGGTGACAGCTATGGTAAGAAAAGAAAGCAAGGATGAAACATACGGACAAAAACCCTTGGACCGACTCAGTTCTGTCCCAAGTCAGAGTGAGCCAGGGAAATGAACCACACCTAAGGCTGTGGGTTCCATCTCCAGCAATAAATTCTCTCTCTCTCTCTCTCTCTCTCTCTCTCTCTCTCTCTCTCTCTCTCTCTCCCCCCCTCATTCCTCGTTTTTTTTTTGCTCCCTGTCTCTGCCAGTTTCTCTCCATTTTGTCTCTCTGTCTCTGTATCTCTCTTCTCGCTCTTTCACTAGACCCCCCCAGTGTGTGTGTGTGTGTGTGTGTGTGTGTGTGTGTGTGTGTTTGCTCCTGTCTCTACCATACCAATTGTGTGGACTTTTTAGAAAAGCTGTGTACAGGCTACACCGGGCACAGGGAGATGGGTCAAGATGCTACTGCTATGGTTAAAAGTGAGAGAACAGGTGGTTTGCACAGTGGTTAGGGTAGCAGGATGGCTAGAAGCTGCTGGTGAAGAGGTGAGAGCTAAGGTCAACAAGATTTAGGTGGGTGGCTTTGCTGGAGGGAGACCAATATCAAGAAATGCTAACGATAACTCCTCAGTACTTTGTCTGAGTGGCTGGGTGGGTGTGCTGTAATTTTCCGGGGTACCGAAGACATAAAGTGGAAAATGGGAGCTTGTTAGTCCTGGTCCTAACAAGCACCAAAATGAAGATGCTGGTTGTACCACCGGCTCATAGAAAAGGAGCATACTGGGAGCTAAGGACAAACTAGATCCTGGCATCATGAAAGAATTGTGTGCACTTAAAACTGCATGACTGCTTGGGGTGTGGCTCAGGGGCAGAGTGTGTGTTTCACATGCAGGAGACCCTGAGTACAATCCCTGGTGCCAAAATATAAATATTTAAAAATAAACTGGATGATAGAGCAAGAGATGGAGTTTGGTTGGATGGTAGAGTGCTTGTTTAGGATGTGGGGAGCCCTGGGTTTGATTCCCAACACATGGCATAATCCAGGCACAATGTCTGTACTCCCAGTACTAAGACGGGGCAAGAAGTTTATCCTCAGCCATGTATGGGGTTCAAAGCCAGCCTGGGCTACAAGAAACCCTCTCTCTGAAGAAAAATTTAACAAAACAAAAGTAAGCCCCTGGACGAGAACACTTACTATGTGATGTGAACCCCATTCCTTTCACTTCTGACAACTGGGCTGAGCCAGACAAGGACAAGCAAGTGAGGAGAGCCAGGTGGCAGGATGGTGACAGGGCGTGGCCATTGGGCTCAGGCTAGACTGCTATCATTAATTGACTCCATTGAGGGCAGATTGGAGACTCAATAGAGTGAACTGGATAGAGAAATGAGGAATTAAACAACAAGGATGGGAGAAAGCCAGAGAAATAAGGACAAAGTGGAAGGAAATTGAGTTTAATGGAGGCTGATTCTGCCTTTGGGATGATTCTCAGTGCTTCCCCCACTGGCTAGGAGATGAGATGGAGGAGGATGGAGAAATGCATACATGAGGTGTACAAGTGAGGTCTGAGAAGGAAAACCACAAGTGAACTCAAAACACCCAAACCAGGAGCTGGAGGGATGGCTCAGTGGTTAAGGGCACTTATTGCTCCTGCAAGGGCCCCCAGCTCAGTTGTCAACACCCACTGGGTGGCCCCAAACCACCTGTAAATCCAGTTCCATGGGATCACATGTCTGTTGCCTGCAAGGGCAGCCACAAGTATGTGACACACACATGCATATGCAATTAAAAACGAAGAAGCCACAAGTGAAAACTCAGTGGATTGTCCTGAAAACATGGCCAGTAAAGCTATAGGAGCCCCCAGGGAAAGGGGACCCAGAAGCTGCCTTGAAACTATGAACAAGAGAGGAGTGATTGGGGTGTGCCGGGCACCCACATTTATCCCTCGTACACACACACACACACACACACACACACACACACACACACACTTCAAAACAAAGAAACCACAAGTGGAAACTCAGCGTGAGTGATATATGCATGTAATTCCAGCACTAGGGAGGAAGACAGCAGTTCAAGTCCAGCCTTGTCTAGAGGAGACCCTGTCACTTCTCTTTGTCTAGAGAAGTGACTGAGAGGTTAAGAGTGAATACTGCTCTTGTTGAGGACCTGAGTTCTGTCTGTTCCTAGCACCCACACCAGGGCTCACAATCACCTGGGACTCCAGCTCCAGGGGGTCAGGTGCCTCATCCACGGACACATCCAGGCATGTGTACACACTTGCGTGCCAACACACAAATATTTTAAATAAATATTTAAAAAAGATCTTTTAAAGTAACTCAGCTTTTTTTTTTTTTAAAGAACACTGGTAAAGGAGTTGGCCTTTACTAGGCAACACAAGACCATCCGTTGTTCCAACCATTGTTCCAAGAGTGGGTACATATGACTGGTGAAGACACAGGGTCATGATGGGGTTCTGGGCAGGTGCCTCTTGCTCCAAAGGTACTGTTGTTGTCAGCCTACTCTTCACCTACGGACTCAGAAAGTCTTCATGAAGACATCTGTGTCCTGGGTTCCCAGTAAATAATACCTACCTACACCTAGTGTCAAGTCCTGACACTCAGAGACATAGCTGGGAGAATCAGAGTTTCTATGAGATGTTAAGAAACAGGCCAGCCTAGTCTTCTGAGCCAGTTCCAAGACAACCAAATCTGTTACACAGAGAAACCCTGTCTCGAAAAACAAAAACAAAAAGAAACGAACAAGAAAAAAAGGAGGGACCAGGAGACTGCCCAGCATTGGGCCACCCACGTAGGGAAGACTCAGGATTGCAGGCTGACTTCCACAGTCTCCAGCCACCTACTGGAATTATTGGACACGGCTGGGGGTACCTTGAAGGAGACCCAGTGTTGATGGGAACTAGGGAAGGTCCTTGCTGTGGGACTGTAGGCAGATTGAATACTGGCCTCCGCAGTACCCAAGGGATCAGTGATTTGGAGCAGTGAAGGTGGGGTCTGTGTCTGGGCAAGGCAGCTTTATTTCTTCTGGGTAAGCTAGCATTTCAGACTTCAGTTCTTTCTTGTTCTGTGTGTGTGTGTAAATTTCGGTTCCCCTAATTTAGCGTATTTTCTTCTGCCCTTTGCTCTGCTCTATTCTGGGCCTCTTTTTTTCTAGTCCCCCTTCTTGTCCTCTCTGCAAGAGTGGAAAACACATCTCACTCCTAGGCAAACATTAACCCAGGCGATGCTTTCAAGAGGGAAGATAAACCCTAGGAGGAGTGAGAAGTGAGGTGTAAGGGCAAGAACGTTTGGGGCGGGGGTGGCGCTGCTAGGCAGCCCGCTCCCGCTCCACGCATGCGCATGCGTACTGTCAGGTTCTCGAGGGACAGGGAAAAAAAAAAAAAAAAAAAAAACTTTCCATTCCATTCCCGAGAATCCCACCCATAACTACTTTGATGGCAGCTTGGACTGACCCGGGAACATATGCTGTAAAGCAATTGGGTCCTCCTGGAGTTGTTTCAATTCGGAACAAGAGAGGATCAATTGGGGGTGCACGGTCCTTTAGTATCAAATGTGTCATGTGCCGGCTCCCCTGCAGTAGCCAAGGCTGCCTGCGCATCCCGGGATTGGGTGGCTGTGATACGAATCTGCTCTGAGTGGCATGGCAACCGCCAGCCCCTGGTGGGGAAAATTCAACACCCACATGTTCGCACCACCCGGAAAGCGAGAGTGCAGAGGAAGAGCGAACTAACTACTCCTGATTGTGGTGGCCTAGAATTAGGGTACCCAGGATATGGGAAGAGTGGGATTGGCGACCTCCTTAACCTTGCAGGGATAGGCACATCACTGAAGGGGGCTGTGGGCTTAGAGCGAAGGGTACAGGTGCACAGCTCAGTGACCTTGGGCAGATAGACTAAAGTTTGCTTTCTGAGCCTCCACTGAATATTCTTTTTTTAAAATAAGTTTAATGTCTATTTTTATTTATGTGAGTGTGATTGCATGCCATTTGTTTGTGCGCCACAATGCCCAGGGAGACCGAAGAAATTGTCGGGTGTTCTGGAGCGGGAGTTCCATATGCAAGGCTCTCAGGACACTGGCTATGGTTTGCTTTGTGGAAGGCCTTACTTCCCATCCTGTTAGGGGCTGGGTGGGGGGCTGAGTTTGAGGAAGATGAGACCACACCATATTTAAAGGTTTTTTTTCCTTTTTGTGAGTACTGAGATACAACGTACTAAAGGATGTTTTAATTATTTCCATTTCCAACAAAGCCTACCTATTCCCACTGCCAAAGAGAGACAGACATCTGCTTTGTGTGGAGATGGACTAAAAAGGCAGTTGCATCTCATGGTTCCGTTTTCCTGAACTTCCTACTAACACGAACTGTTTGTGCATTAGGTGCCAGGGTGTGGGGCACCTAAATGAATTATCTTTAGTTCTCCATAGTCGGTAAATTAGTAAATTAGAAAGCACGGCTCTTCTTTTACACGGGGCCGCCCTCCTGGCCACATTTGAGATCTTGCCTAGCCTAGGAATTCCAATTCGTTCCTTACAGTGTTTAAACCATGTAATCTGCCAGGACGCCCGGAGTTCCCTTGAATTAGAGCTAGACTTTCCCACGGTGTGAGGCCTAGAAGAACAAGCACTTTCGTCCACGCGGGCTCTTTAGGGAATCTGAAGTTAGTCCCCGGAGAAGGAATAACAACACAACCCCAAAAGAGTGGGTGGGCCTAATTAAAGAAACAACCCCCTCCAACAACAACAACAACAACAATAAAAAGGCAAACCGCTTTCATCAAAAGCGGAAGAATTTCGGTGAAATGGATTTCCGTTTCGGTTAATCCGCCAGGCTCTTGGACCGTTTCATCCCAGAAACCCAGAACTCACACTTAAAGTCACAAAATCTCGGCATTTATTTGTCAAGCCCCGTGGATATTATCCTCTGGGCCCACCCCACTCCTGCCTCTTCTCTGAGCAAAACGAAGCCCATTCCAGGACTTTTGGCGGAAGTCTTCAAGCCCTCTCATCCGGCCCCCTTTCAACATCAAAGCCCCCCTGAGAGCAAAGGACTTTGAATAGATAGGAGTAGCTGGGACTTCTTATCGCTCCCCAGCTCTCGGGCCGGCAGAGCAGGTCATAAATTCCCAGCCTCTTCGACTGCCTTCTTTCTCCTCCTTTCCAGGATCCCCCTAAGTCTGAAAGCCAAACCTGTCATTCGCTCCCCGCCCCCGGGTCCTGGCAGGGGGGAAAGAGGGGCCCGCATCCCGTCATTGGAGAGAGAGGCCACTACCGGGGGACCCTGCTTGGCTTTCTGATCTGCGGGGAGGTAACTCTCTGTCGGTGCGTGTCTGTGCTTCCCCGCAGGCCAGGAGGGCATCCTGCGTTGTCATCCGGACCTAGCGGGCCGTGATCTGCAGCAGGGCACGCTCACCGCCGAGTCGCAGCGCGAGCAGAGCCAAGCGGGCCTCACCAGCTTGGACGCGGATGACCGGCTGCGGCTGCAGCAGCTCAACGCGCGGTACAGAGAGCGCTTCGGCTTCCCGTTTGTGCTGGCTGCGCGCCTGAGTGACCGCGACGCGGTGCCCCGGGAGCTAGCCCGCCGGCTGCACTGTCAGCCAGAGTCCGAGCTGCGTACCGCTCTGGGCGAGGTGAAGAAGATCGGCCACCTGCGCCTGGCAGATTTGCTAGGCGCCGATCCTGCCAGGGTGGAACCGCCCCGGAGCTGGAGATCCGAACGCCAGTAAGATAGCCACGGAAGGGACTTGGTGTTTGTTGTACACCCTTCGCTGGAGGCTGGCTCGGGCCTGGAAGAACAATCCACTCACCCACACAAAGGGAAGTGGAGAATTGAAGCAATCACACGACTAATGCAGTCTTTGTACACCCATCCACACAGCACGCGTCGCCAAAATATGTCAGATTCTAGAGCGTTTAGCGCTTTGCCCCCGATTTATCCAGCTCGCTGCTTCAATTCTCCACTCGCCTTGCGGCCTGCCCACACTACAGCCTTGGCGGATTGAAAGCTCCTATCCGGCTCCCCCATTCTCTCCTGCTAAGCAGGAGCTGGAAATGCAAAAGGCACTCACTGAAAAGGGGTCCTGCATTCCATAGTGATCTTTCTTCTACTCTGAAATGCCCATGAGAATTGAAGTTGGGAAGAAAAATTAAAACACTGGTTTTGGTCCCAGGTGACCAACTAGCCGTGGGAGTTGAGTCCTCCCACTCAACTTCCAGCCTGGGAAGATGCCCTGAGGAGGCCAGTGTAGTGTGTGTGTGTGTGTGTGTGTGTGTGTGTGTGTGTGTGTGCAAGTTGGAAAGTTTTGATAATCAGGAGCCAGTGTCACCCTTGTCCCTCCAGAAGATCAGCCTTTGGTGATGGCCCTGCAAGCCAAGCCCTGGGTGTTGTGGAGCCCAGGATGAAGAGGGCATCCCATAGTGCTGGTAATATGGGCACAGGGATGGTGCCGATAGAGATCTTCCGGTAGAGCAAGCCAGACTTGGGAACCTGGAGATCCAGTCAGTCAGCCTGAGGTGGACTCAGGAGAAGCAACACCACCAGCAGGAGGGACCATCACACACACACACACACACACACACACACACACACACACACAAGAGTGAGAAGGGGGCGGAGTTAATGAGTCCCGTGAATACTACTTTACACTTCTTTTGGCAAAGAAAAAACAAAGTCATACTTGACTCCCCCCAAAACGGACAGGTAGAAGCAGAGTTGATTTCCATTAGTGAACAACCAAATAAGACAAAATGCGTACCCTACTCCATAAAGAGCTGTGCCATAGAACTTTGGGTTCTGGGGGTGATGATCCACAGAAATAATCCCCCCTGGAGCACTCAGAATCAAAATAAAGGCTCCTGTTGCCTTTTCTATCATCTCATCTATGTCCCTGGGCAGTATGGGCGTGAGAAACTGGGGATGGGAGAGTGGATGCCTTGGTGAGCCGCCTGGGGGACAGGATCACCCAATGTCCACAGAGGCCAGCCTATCTCCCTCTCTCTCTTACACGAGCGCTTGCATACTCACGCACACGAGTGTGCAGAGACCAGGACAAAGACTCAAAATCCACTATACTCAAACCATTCTGCCTAGCCCTCCGGTAAACCCAACCCTTAAACCAACCGGCCCTAAAACGCAGAATCCACCCTCTTTATGTAAATTTGCTAAGCCTAAGATGCAGAGAATCCAACAGGACAAGATTCCAAAAGGGCTATTTTTAGAATCATAGATGCAATCTGTGCTTCAGAAGAACGACCGGATCTCTCCAGTGACATAATTGCATTTTAACAGTCAAAAGCTTATCCCAAATTTTTTCCCCCTGCGGGAAAGGGCATGGGTTGGGCAATTGCTGGCGTCCCTTTGAAGGGAGGTGGCGGTGAGGGGACAAGAACTGGCTACTCAAGGACTCTTCCAAAGAGTCTGGAACGCTGGCAACCCGAAGGCCAGAGCTGGATGCGCGAGGGAGGAAGCCATCTGGGAGCTGGGAAAGAACGGTTGTGGCAACTGAGGGCCCTTTCCAGGGAGCCAAGAGTCAGAGGCCCTGAGG